GACGATTTATTAATCGCTAATGTGCGAAGGTCCGTTTGGAATCGTACGTTTGAATAGTTCGTCCATAAACATACGTATTCGTACGAATCCCAGTTCGCGCGTAAACGCTTCCACTGTGAGACAAGCCTAAATAGTTCAAGTGCAAGACTACAAATCAAATATTGATTGAATCAAAAGTGATCCGATATTCCTGAAATTTTGCATATGGACAAAATTTCATATTCTAAACGACTTTTCTAAATAAAAGTTTGCCGAAATAGCACTCTACCTAAACCCAAAATGATTTTCTTCTCAATTATCACTTCGATCTTAGATTTAAAAAAATAAAAATGTGCTTGAAACTCTTTTCAGATCAAGCAGGCCGAGATAACAAAACATCAAAACGAGAATCAAACATTTTCGATCAATTACACGTAGGTATATAGTGAAGTTAATCCGGGGATACCTATCACAGTATAGTGTGACACACATGTTCTATTGCCAAATTTTTTTATATACAGGGTGTTAATACATACTACGTCGGTAAACCCCAAAACGGCAGCTACAATTCATTAAAACAAACAACTTTTCTTAGTTCCAGTTATTGATTTGATGCGCCGGTTTTGTTTTTCGAAAAATCGTCATAATTAATTAGAAAAAAATAAAAAATTTCAAAACTACTTTCAACTCTCTAAAACATTTGTATTTGCAATTATTTTTTCCAATAACAAAATGACGATCGATCAAAAATTTCATAACAAGATTTTTTGAGAATCAACCCGTCAATTTTTAAACATTTATAAAATCCCAAAGGAACGCCAATAACCTCGAACCGGGGACCAAATTAAAAAAATTGGAACTAAGAAAAGTTGTTTGGTTTATGTGCTAGACTTTATTGAATTTATTAATGGCAGTGTATTTGAAGCTTCAAAGAGTCTACGTACATTAGACCAAACGAAAAAGGTCTTTCGAAGTCCTTTATTTTGACGTTTGATTTTTTAAAATCGATCGATTTGTTTTCGAGAAAATTAGAAAAATCTTTATTTAATTGACCTATCTTCATTTGTTCAGATAGAAAACAAAAACAAACGAAAATATCACTTTTTATTTCAATAAGTGTTCAAAATGTTGCCCGTTATTAGTTATATAGGTGATGTTCAAAAGCGTGACGGACATTTTCAAAACCATGCTTGGGGATATTATGGTAGCTTTCGATGATGCGTTGACGAAGTTCATCCAAACTTTCAGGTTAAATTGAATTAAATTAACTGACAGCAAATTAAATTATTTCTTTCCAATAGCAACAAATAAGTGATATTTTCGTTTGTTTTTGTTTTCTATTTGAGCAAATTAATATAGGTCGATTAAATAAATTAAATACAGATTTTTCTATTTTTCTCGAAAACGAATCGTTCAAATGAACACCGTGTACCTACATATATGAGACCACCTTCAATCCTAAGTTAAATAAAAGATGAATCTTACATCTGGTAAATGATGTTTTTTTAAACTTACCTATAGTTTAAAATTAATTTACATCGCATCTGCGTTGGATTATGCTCTTCTGCAATGACAGTTTACTTTTCAGAAAACGACCATTAACAAAAAATCCAGCAAGTTATAGGAAAAAACGAAACTTGTCCTGAATTTGAACATTTTCTCTAAATTTGTGCCGTGATCGCTGTGTTAAGAAATGATTTTAATAACAGTTACATAGTGCTTTATAAAAAACTGTAAAAATCATATTATTATACTATTTACAAAGCAAATTTTAATTAAGCCTCAATATCAATAAAAACTTTGTGGATAATATACAGGGTGATTCTTTAGAAGATGATCGTTTAAATCTTGTGCGTAACATTCTAGTGTTTTGTCAGTATATTAAATTGGCGGTCTGAATTTCGTTAGTAATTTTTTCCTGTGACAGGTAACTGATAATTTAGAAACCAGTGCCGCCGGTAATTGCAACTTGCCTTTTATTAATGTTGAACAATTTTTATACCTGATCCGTACACTGAAAGATGTGACTGTGCATAGTGTCAAAATTTATAATTTGTTGTAAAACAGAAGCGATATTTGAAAATTATAAATAAGAAAACAATCTAGTGAATGCATGTACCACTGTAATTAAATAAATGATCATCAATTAGCACCTACCAACTTCAAAAATTTTGTGCATTGCGGGAAATTCAAACGTTCATCAGTTTTAAAGAATCACCCGGTATAAGAGATACATTGATACCAGGATACATCCCTGCAAATAATATTCCTCGTGGGTATAAAAAACACTCTCTGAAGAATATTTGAGAAATATCTAAAGAATTCTCGCGCAAGCTTTTGCAGAATATTTAGTTAATTCTCCAGAAGATTAAAGAACACCTTTAACCTTTTAACGAATTTCAACACTCATCCAGAATCATGTTACAGCGGATTTACCGGAATTAATATTAATTGATGTTCATTGGAAATTTTAGAAATTATAAGAACAAAAATTATTCTCTCCGCCGCAGATTTTAAGTCACTGGGATAAAAAGAGTAATATAATTGTATATCATCCGCATGCATATGATAAGTAACATGTTTTAGTATACCCGAAACTGTAGATGTGTACATGATATAGAATAACGGACCTAAGATTGAACCTTTAGGGACCTCTTTGTTAATAGTGTGAATTATAATTTGGAAACTTTGTTGGCGGTTAATTTCTAATTAATTTTACTGCATACGTATCAAAACCTAAGCAATGTGGGTAATGTTATCAAGATGTCATGATTTAATGTATCAAAAGTTTTGCTATAGTCAAGCAATATAAGTACCTACTGTAGGCATTCCTTTCAGTTTCTTACAAAACCTGTAAGTTTTGAGTGGAGCATGGATATAAAGTAATATGTTTAAATTGTCGTTAATAAAAATGATTTTCTCATTGATATCCATACAATTATAATTTTTTTTCCACGGTATGGAATATAGGTGTTTATAGGACAGTGAAGAATCAAGATTTTTAAAATCCCTATAGGAGGCCCGTATAACCACTACAAAATCCTGGATGAGAACAATGTTTGCGTATCCAGCACATAACGATACGTGAAGCTAAAAAAGAAATATCTGTTGCGTGGCATTCTTTTGACATTTTGCAATTTACAAGGTGCTGAATTTCATTGGCCAAAGGTACTCA